AACCAAGATGCATTATATAAAGGTACAGTTCCCAATGAGAAACGTAATTGTGTTGTATACCTACAATGTACCAATAAAAGAATTTAATAATTAAAAAAAAAAGAAAAAAGAAATGGAAATGAAGGCTATGTAAATAGGGAAGGGTGGAGGGGGTGGAGGGCACACAGGTAATGGGGAAAAAATAAAAACCAAGATACATTACGTACAGGTACAAGCACCCAATAATAAATGTAAATGTACTGTATACCTAAAATGTACCAATAAAAGAACTTAAGAAGAAAAACAAAAAAAAAGAATCCTGGAGGTATGTTGTAGACCATAACTGAAGCTGTAATTTTCAGTCAGGACAATTACCTGTCATGAAGACATAAAATAATTTATTATTGAATGTTTTTCTTGTACGATTCATGTGCAAGTGTACTCAAAATTCTGCTACACTACATGAAAGTAAATGGACATTCCAGAATATAGATGTGATTATATAATCTGAAACTAATTATTATTAAACCAATGATTGCTGAGAATCAAAAAAAAAAAAAGTCAGTGTTAAAAAAAAAGGTTAGTCCTTAGTGGAGAGATGCTTCCCTCTTCCTCCCACTTTATTTCATAAGACTTTAAAGCTTGATGATGTATGTGGTAGCAAGGCTATCTCGGACCATGAATATAAAAGGAACATCCTGTCTTCCATCAGTTTCTAGAGCCATAAGATCAGCAGTGTACAAGTCACTGGAAGACAGAGAAGTCACCAAGGCCCTATTCATAAAGACATAAGAGTAAAGGCAAGAACTCTACCTTGTTTAAGCCATTGTTAAGATATACTCATATCTATACCCTAATTCACTTCCAAGCTTTTTTGCCTTCTGAGATCAAAACCAGCCAGTGCTGTGCCCAAGAACCAAAATGGTAGACATTTAACTCACTGGGTTGTGGGGAAAGCAATGGAATCTACTTTTGAGCTCTCCTGTCCCACCTGTTGGTGATTCTGAACTCAGCAGGTCTGGCAGTTGAAATTTTCTGATCCCCAGGAGTCATAAAACTCTAAGAAGTCTACCCAAGAGATGCCTCTTTTGCATCTGCTTTTCCTTCACTTCCTCTCTGGAACTTACACCCTTATCACCAACACTATGAGTTTCTCTGGGTGCCTACAGCTTTCTCCCTCCAGTGAGATGCTTCAAGTTTTCCATAGAGTTCTTTAACTTCACTGACAAGGAGAGGCTATACCACCCATCTGCCTGAAGACCAGAGTAACTTTATTCCGGAAGCTAAGGAACCAATTCTCCATGAAGTGGCCACACAGAGCAGGAGCTTCTGTTGGCATGAGATCCTGGTGGGGGTGGTGTGAAGGCATGACCAGTGACACCACCCAAGAAGACAGCACATTGTCTTGACTTGCAAAGCTCAGTACTCTGCCTCACCACTGCCCTTCCATACTCGCTGATATCACCAGAGGATTAACACAAACTACAAATGCACTTGATTGAAGGACCGTATATAAACAGCAGCCTCTTCCAATGGACCACATTCAGCATCAGTAAGGCCATATAATGGGGGGAACACCAATCCTGAACCAAGCATCATGGTCATCATCTCTGCCTAAGGCTTTCTAGCTTTCCAGAGACCCACTGTCTCCGCATGACAAAAGGCGGAGACACTCACCAGTACTGTATTCTCTGAACTCGAGTACTGGTACTTGGAAATGTGTTTATTCAATCACTGCAAAAAAAAATCCAACTTTAAAAACAAAAACAAAAACCCCCAACTTCCTATTCTTGCCACTAGTACTGTACTCCACTTCCACAGTCTTTCCTTGGGCCTACTTTGTGTATTTTCTTCTCTCCCATTGCTTGCCTCTAGGGCTTTCCAGGTAGTGAAAAATGAGGATAAATCCCAGCTCATCCTCTTGACACTTGGGCCTTCATATGAGACTGCAACATTCTTCTCAAGCCTCCTGTCACAGTCCCCATGGTCCAGGCCTGCAGGCCTCTCCAGGCCCTCCCACATCTCCATGCCTCTGCACTTGCTGTGCATTCAGTTTCTCCTCACGATCACAACAGCCACCATTCCTTTATTTGATAAACTGTTACTCAGCCTTTAAGTCTCAGTCTCAAAAGTCACCTCCTCTGTGAGAAGTTTTCAAATTCTGGAGCACAATCAGTTGCTCTAAACTGGACTCATCCATTTTTTTTCCCTGAGACTCTAAACAAATACTTACTAAATGGCTTACTCAGGCCTTATTACTGGAATTTAATCTCATACATGTATGTCTATGTCTCCCATCAGTAAAAGTTAAGGTCAGAAGTAAAATTCATTTTTGTATCACCAGTGCCTGGCACCATGCTTGCCTGGCACCATGCTTGTCACTGAACAGGCATTTATTTACTAGGACCTTGCTGAATAGGCACCAATGAATAAAGCATTAAATTAAAAACCCTGGATAGGGGAGTCTGAAACCACAGATGTCTCAGTTTCCTCATCTGTATAAAAAAGTTGGGTTTGATAATCTCATAACAACACTGAAGTTTTACTAGACAATAGGAGTTGAGTCTGCTCAAATCAGTGAACCAGGCATAAATCGTGATTCAGTAGAAACACTAATAGAGCCTGGCCATCCAGTAGTCATTTTTTTGAAACGCTAGCAGCTTTTTGAAACTACATGCCCAAATGCAGAAACAACTGCACATAGCTAACTGCCCTCTCATCAGGCCTCTGTAAGGAAGAAACACTTGTGTGCTTTACTCAGGCTCAAAAGCCCGAGTCTCAGGTTTGAACTTCACTGTGTCCCACAGCAGTCAGGTGGAGGACTAGGAAGACCCGGGACTGCAGCAAGTGAAGAAAGGGGGGAGGGGTACAAAAATGGTGAAAATTTACAACTTAACGCCCAAGAATGTAGAGCATTTCAATTTAAGAAACAAATTACTGTAAAACCAACACAAGACAAATATAGAACAGATTCAGGTCAAGTGAACAGAGAACCTGGTAGCCCGTACCGTGTGCGAGGTCAGGTTTATGGGACTCTAAACATAATTTTTTCTGCACATTCTCATCTCTTAACACGCTCAAGAAAGCTATTCTCCCTGCCTCCAGTATTTAGCAGGCTGCCAGCATTTAATAAATATTTCTTAAACCGAAACGGCTTAAAATTTATAAAAACCCGATGGGGCGGGTATGGTTATCTCCCATTGAACGCCAGAGGAAACGGAAGCTCCGACGGCTCAGGGATCTGCCCGAGTTCAGTAGCTGGTATTGGGTCGCGACGGCCACCACAGGCCTACAGGAAGGCCTCTGCAGAGCCCTGCCACCTGGATGCAGGCGCGGCCACCACCCGGAGTGCCCGGCCGCGCTACCTGGAGCACACAGTCGGACTGCAGCAGACATGCACCCAGGTCCTCCTTCAGACCCGCGCACGCGCCGCCCTCTGGCTTGTCCTCGTAATAACGGGGCATGGCGATGCCTCCCGCCCGCTGCCGCCTTGACCTTCTTGGTCCTCAATCACTACCACCTGGCTGGGGGGAAAGAGACGCCCACAGCCGAAGAAACCGGAAGACGTTGAGGTAATTTCCAGCAGGTCCTTGGTTGTCGGGAGGAAAGACTACGAGTCCCGAGAGGCATCGCGCGTTACGGAAGTGACGTGTGTGACGTAATGGGGCGCTCCCTGAGCGCCGGCTACGTTGCGGGAAGGAAAGTTGGCCCAGCCGGGGCTGTGTTCCGCTGCTGGGCAGTGTTGGCGGAGTAGCTCAGACCTCGGTCGAGGCCACACCTGAGCCCCAGGTGAGACCTGAGGGCTTCTCCGCCCGCGTGCTACTTGTGTTCGCATAAAGGGGCCTTTCTTCCGGCAGCTCGTGGCCGGGCGTCATGGCGACCCGGCAGTGACCATTCCCGCGGCCGGCCCCTGGGGCCCTGAGCCCACGCTCGAGTTGCTGGATAAAATCAAGGACTCTCACTTACATTGGAGTGAAAGATAAAGTAATAATTTTTAAGCGTGTCCGAAATATTGTGTGGGACTCATTCTTTGCTTGTTTGAACATCCAGTGTAACTGGGCAGTCTGTTTTTATTTGCCAAACCTGACAGCCGCACCCGAGGCCCCGTGCTAAAGGGGACCACCTGGGCAGTGCGGGGCAAGAAGCCACTGGCGTCCTGGAAGCCTGCCAAGTCGAGTGGGGGACAGGGGTGTGGGCGTGGGGATCAGGCGGTGACCTGCGCTCACCCGCCTTCGGACCAGTTGGACTGGACTCCCACGCTGTCATTCCTCCGGGTGGATTATTTTCTGGGAGTAAAACACTATGGAGTTTTGCTTTGTTTTTATATCATTGTAATGAAGGAGGAGCTTGCTGGTCATACGTACGCTGATGGACTTGTGTGAATAATATTGCTTTCTAATAGATTTAAAGACTGAAAGCCTTGGTGATTTAAGAAATCGGAATTTGGGGCAGAGTTCTAGTCTTGACAGCATCACAGTCGTAACTATAGGGAGCTCACTTTGCCTCCCTGTGCCTCTCTTCCTCCTCTTTTAGCTGCCCAGGATGGCTGAGGCTAGAGCGAGATGAAGTGTGAGAAGTGCATGGATCGTGATTAAGAGTTGTGTTGTATGATTTCTCAGGGCGTGGCATCGCCCTAGCTGGAACTGCAATCCTCAGTTTTCCAGCCGCCTTAGCACAGACTCCATTCACTTTTGACCCCTGACCCCTCAGAGAGTGGAAAAAACATAAAGTGACCTCCCTCCCTGCTTAAGTTTCTTCAGATTATGTGTAAAAGGAATTTTTGTCTTCCATCTAGGAAGATGTTACCAAGTACTTCAGTGAATTCCTCAATGCATGGGAATGGAGTCTTGAGTTCCAGGGATGCAGCAAGACACACAGCTGGAGCAAAGCGCTACAAATACCTCAGGAGGCTTTTTCGTTTTCGGCAGATGGACTTTGAGTTTGCTGCCTGGCAGATGCTCTACCTGTTCACTTCCCCACAGAGGGTTTATAGAAATTTTCATTACAGGAAGCAGACAAAGGACCAGTGGGCCAGAGATGACCCTGCTTTCTTGGTCTTGTTAAGTATCTGGCTCTGTGGTAAGTCTTAGTTTGTTTATCTGCCTTAGAGTTGAAGAAAAAATTGCTTCAGAGTAGGCTTGTCACTTGGAGGCTCTATTGATATGTAATGTGTTGTGGGTCCAAATTTGAGGGTTTGTGTAACTGTTTCTTCCTTTTCCCTGAACCCTCAGAAATCTCATAAGAAAGAGATATATTCTTCCATGTCCCAAGCAGATGCTGGAGTGAATTACTACTTCAGGACTTTGAAAAGCAGGGACAAGATTCACTCTGTCTTTTAGCTACTGCAAACTGATGCCCAAATTCCATCTTCCCATGAAAAGGACTATCAAAATTGGAAATTAACATTTCACAAATAGGCACATCAAGGAAGTTCTAAAAGTACTGATGTGAACTTGAAAATCTGCTTTTAAATTTTCCAGTAGTGTACTGAATGGGTGCCAGTCATCTTTTAAACTGCATAAGGTTTTGAAGTGTGTGGAGTGTTTTTTACCTTAACTGGATTTCCAATGTGTGAGGTCCTCTATGCCACACTGTTCTGAATGCCACAGCTATGTGGTGAACTACCATGAGCAGAGCCCTGCTCAGTAAGCTTCATAGATCTGCATTCCAAAATGGTTTGCATTTCTACATCAGTTAAATAAAACACATCTTTGGAGTTTTTTATTTCAGTGTCTGTATGGGAATCTGGTGGCCAAGTATATTAGCTTTCCATTGCTGGGACAAAATATCTGAGATAACCTAAAAAGAGGAAATGTTTATTTTGGCTCATGGTTTAGAGATTTCAGTCCATAGTCATTGGCCCATTGCTGTGGGCCTGTGGGGAGGCAGAACATGGTGGGGAGTTAGTGGTGGAGCAAAGCTGTTCACCTCATGATGGTGGTTAGTAGAAAGAGAGGGGAAGCAGCTTGAAGGAGGGTCCTGATATCCATTTCCAGGGCACACCCTCAGGGACCTACCTTCCTTCCACTAGGCCCTACCTCCTAAAGATTACATCTCCTTCCAGTAGCATTACAGGTTGGCAACCAAACCTTTAGGACATAGGCCTCCAGGAGACATTTAAAATTTAAACCATAACACCAACGAATGTGTTCTGTACCCCCAGAACCTATCACAGTGTCTGAATGAATCTTGTAAATCTTTCTTTCAGTGTCCACTATAGGATTTGGTTTTGTGCTGGACATGGGATTTTTTGAGACAATAAAACTTCTCCTATGGGTAGTATTCATAGACTGTGTGGGCGTTGGCCTTCTGATATCAACCTTGATGTGGTGAGTACCACTAACTTTGGATTTTTAGATACTGTAGAGCATTTATTTATTTCCTTCAGAGATACAGTAGCAGATGGAAATTGAGACCAAGATAAAGTAACTGAAATGATCAGTCTTGCTGCCAAGGGGTTATAATTTGGCCTTCCTGTGTTAGTACCAATATCAGGAAATTTTCTTAAGGGATGCTCTATATTATCAATGTGGCCAATAATAGAAATAATTATTATATTAACAAAACCCCTGGTTTTACAAAAATGTTATGCATTTATCAGTTCTACCTAAGTTGTATGCTGGCACCATTTTCTTCATTTATCAGTGGGGACATCTTCCAGATGTAGGGGAGTGTGCTGTAGTGCTCAGACCCATTTAGAGTAGAGGATTACTTTTTGGAATCTTACTTTGAATCTTTGATATTAGATGAAGTACACTTGAAAAAGAATTTTTAAAAAAACTACTCTGGTTCCTTCCTGGTGTAGATCACACACACACACACACACACACACACACACACACACACACACACACACACACACACACGTTTTATTGATAGAGCTCCCAGTGGGCTGGGGATTTAGCTCTGCTGCTGTGCCTGCCTTGCAAGTGTAAGGTCCTGAGTTCGATCCCCGGTACTGGGGAGGGGAGGAAGGGGGGGCTCCCAGTTAACTTTGTCTGGGATTGACTGACATCACCAGTGTTCCTAGGGTAATGTGTTTGGCCTCTTGTCCTGGGGAGCGTGCTGCTGGGTACTGGCCTGCAGGCTGAGGGCAGTGCGTGTAGCCAGTGGTAGAGCAGGCCTGATGGTCAGTGTATATCAGGAAAACTTGGAACGTTTTTGTCTCAGAGTGACCCAGGTTCAGGTCCTAGCTCAGTCATTTGCATAACTCTAGACTCAAGTCTCCTCTTTTATACAGTGGAGTTGATGGATTTTGTCAGATTTCTGTAGAGCACTGTAAGTTCCTGGCATATGTTAAGTGCGCTCAGTATATAGTAGCTGTTAATATTTTAAATGAGACTGTAATCTCTAATGATACCAACCTTTGATTATCCTTTGTAACTTTTGATAAAGTGCAGGTTCTGTATATGCTAGGTAATTAATAAATACTGTTCACCATTAATCTAAAATTAATATTGCTAACTACGTAAATTACATATTGATTATCAAGGTAGCAATGGAGAAGACATAGTATATGAAAAAATGGAAGAAGTAAGGCTTTCAGAAGAGCAGTTGAGTTTGTAGCAAGCATTCTGCTAGGAATTCGGTGACTCTGGTGGCCACAGAGCCTAAGTTACCCTGGAGCTCAGCATTTTCAGCACGAGCCTGTGTCAGGGTTTCTGTTAAATAGACAAGGACTCAACATACTGCTTTTGAAAATCCATTTTGTACTGTGTTGTGAATCATGTGAGGAAATAGAAATGGTACCTTGTAAATTTGATCATCTCAGAAGCACCACACGAACTAATATCAGGTCACATTTTAGGGGGAGAGAGGATTCCGAATGATTTTGAACGAGTGAATGCAGGGATGTAGAAATGTGGAACAGCACACTAGGTCCAAGGGCAGAGGGTGACACTGAGTGGCTGGGGAAGAGAAGAGACTAGAGAAGTTGGCTGTAGTGCAGTTTGGAAAACAAAGTACTGCACTTGTGGGCTGGAGGAGGGGAGAGTGGTGGAGCTTGGAGGGTGTGAAGTAAGGAAAGCTGCCCTGTGAGGGAGAAGAGGGCAAAGCCGGTAGAACTGCAGGAACCTGAGGAAGGGCAGAGGATCCTGAAGGCAGCGGTGACAGGAACAGAGGGGGATGGAGTGAGAGAACCTGTCACAGCAGGACACCTCAAGGGCTGGGCAGGAGCGGCAGTGGTGGGGCCTCCTTTGGCAGAGCTTGCAAGTTTGGGACTCAGTGCTGAGCATTTGATGTTAGGCATATAGAGCCCAGAGAGCTCACAGAGCATTTAGTGGAAACAAAGGTCATGGGGCACTGAGGCAGAGGGCTCAGCAGTGTGGGCCCAGATGAGCTGTGAAGGGTGCCATTGATGTCCAGGTGGGCAAGGAAGCACAGTGGCCTTTGTGCCCACTGAAGGGATGGCTGAGGGGGCAGTGGCTGTGGGAAGGGGCTTCCTGGGGAGCCAAGGACAGGCTGCTGCGGGTGATTCTAACTGCACTCATTTATGGGCCTCAGATGAGAATTCCGTTTGTGTATACAGTGTTAGCATTTGTCTCCTTCTCGTTAAACATTTATGGGCTTTGTTTCTGGCAACTTTTGGACTTCTAATTTTTTTGGGGGGGTGGGGGGTGGGAGGGGTTACCAGGGATTGAACTCGGGACCTTGCGCTTGCAAGGCAGGCGGCGGCACCACTGAGCTAAATCCCCAGCCCATGGACTTCTAGTTCTTTACAAAATGTGTAATAAATTGTAAAGTACAGTTTGCCTACTGTGCTGTGGGACACTAGAACTTAGTCCTCCTGTGTCTGTACCCTTTATCCACATCCCTCTGTTGTCCCCACCCTCCCTGTCCTCTGAGGACCACTTTTCCCTCCTTTCATGAGAACAGCTGTTTTGTCTTTCACTCCTGAGAATACGTGGAACTGTGGCTTGGCTTATTGCACTCATTCTGTAGACTTAATTCGCGTGTTCTTGGCTGAGACAATGTTTTGGTAAGTTGTGGTGTCCAGGTGAAGCAGTATTATTTTATCTAAGTGCAGGACTGTTTATTATACTATACCATGTTTTGTTTATCTTCTATTTTTATCTCCACTGTAGGAAGAGCATTTTCTTAATTGTATCCTTGAATTGAAATGCAATGACACATAAAAAGGTACATTGACTTTCCCCAGATATGTTTATAATAAGTGATCAGTTTCGGCCTTTCTGTCCCCTGGATATATGGTATTCATTCATAGCTGTGTTGCACTGGTAGGCATGTTGTAGCATTGCCTGGCACTTGAGCAGCTGTTCTATGACCAGATGTGCTGCTTGCCACTTTCCTTTACTTTCCTCACCTTTTAATTGGGGGTTGACACAGGTCATAGGCCTGGAACACATCTGGTGTTTATTCTTTTTTTTTGGTACTGGGGATCGAACTCAGGTCCTTCTGCTTGTGAGGCACTGCTGTTTATTCTTTTGGTGATGTCATTCAGTCCCCTGGCTTTAAATATCATCCACACACTGGTGAGATTTTTGTTTTGTTTACACATGCAACCCAGGGCATTTGCACTGAGCTACATTTCCAGCCCTTTTTAATATTTTGAGACAAGGTCTTGCTAAGTGGCTTCATTACCCAGGCTGGGCTCGAATTTGCAGTCTTCCTGATTCAGCCTCTTGGAGTGCTGGGATTATGGCAACTGATGAACTGATGACTTTTTCTCTCCAGTTTGGACTTGGGTTTCATATGCAGCTCCTTACTCCATACTGATGGGCATCTTCCACATAACATGTCCATTCCAAATTCCCACACACTCCTCCATCCTCCAGACTGCTCCTGCTCTTGTCCCTGGAGTCTGCTCTCAAGACGGGCCATCAGGGAGACCAGGTCAGAACATCTGTCAGACACTTCTTGCAACTCCACAGTGGCTTCTTGTTACCAAGAATAAAAGCAAGAAGTCTTTAAACGGCCAGCAGCCCCATAAGATCTGGCTCTGTGTTTCCTTTCTGACTGCATTTCCCACTCCAGATCTTGTTCACAGGCCCACTGTGCTTCCTCATCCTGAGAGGCCAGCACCATCCCACCCTTGGGTCTTCACCTATGACCATCATGTTTAAGACTGCATCGCAGGTACCCTCTGACATCCAGTTATGTTCTGGTCAGTCTGCTCCCCTGCAGTTGAAGGCAGAGCTATTTTTTAAACTATCATTTGAAAAAAAATTCTATTAGTACATGTTTGCAGTACATGATGATTATATTTATTGGGGGAGTTTGTATGTGTACATAGCACATCATATTTCTTTTTTCATCCCCTTTTCCTCCCATCCCTCCCTGCTCCTCCCAACTCTTGTCTTCTCCTTTTGCAGTTTTCATTTTTTTCAATTGTTAATCCCTTTCCCTTTTCCCTGCCCCTTCCATCTCTTGTTGCCCTTCCCATTTGAAAAAGATCTCCCTACTTCCTATTACCTTTTATTTTGCCCTTGTATTTTGGGTTTCTCATATAGGAGAAACCATGTGATATTTACTTATGCATCTAATTCATTATGGTCTCAAGGTGAAGGCAGAGATCTCACTGCACTCCTTCTGGAAGTTAGAATGGTGCCTGGTACATGGCTGGTGGTATTGGTGAGTTAATTTTATTGTATTATGAAAGAAATGTGAATTTTGCTCTTCAGGTTCATCTCTAACAAGCACCTGGTGAAACGCCAGAGCAGAGACTATGACGTGGAGTGGGGCTACGCCTTTGATGTGCACCTGAATGCTTTTTACCCACTCCTGGTCATCCTGCATTTTATCCAGCTGTTCTTCATCAACCGTAAGTAACAGTAACTTCTCAAAATATTATCAGATGTGTGTACAGATACTCACTGTCTGCATTTCTTCTGGCAGATGTTATCCTGACAGACACATTCATTGGATATTTAGTTGGAAATACCTTATGGTTGATTGCGGTTGGCTATTACATCTATGTAACCTTCCTAGGATACAGTGGTAAGTACCCTTAAAGAACTGGTTGGCTGAGGACCTATCAGGGAGAGGAGATGCTAGCAGTACAGTACTAATAGTCTGCCTGAGGAGCACTTGTGGAGGAACTGTCTCATTTACGCTTCCTACCAATTTTTGATTCAGGTTTATTTCTTCATCATTTTTCAAGTGGAACTAAGGCACAAAAAAGATGAAGTAACTTGCCCATGGTCACACAGCCAGAGAGTGGTGTATCTGCTGTGTAACTTTTCATAATGTCAAGAAACCACTCTGAATCACTGTCTCCCGAGTTATGGCAGGAATCCAGGACCATTTTGCTCTTCTCTTGCCAGGTTCTAAGTTGCTAGTAAGAGAAGGGAGTGAGGAAAAATTGGACCTGATGTAGGGGCTCACAGGTGCATGAGCTGACATCTGAAACCTGGCAGCAGGCTTTTGCTCATTTTTAATTCTTGTGATCACTGTGATGGTTCTGTAGATGCTCACAGAAGGTCAAGCCCTACTTTTATTGACCTCGGGACATATTTTCAAATTTGTTCTTAAGTCTTGCTTTAGGTTCATCTTTCTTAATATGACCAAAGAACACTTACTCCTAAAATTTCTTAGCATTACATATTTTATATCTAATACACACATGTATAGCTATGTGTCCACACACACACAGACTTGCCTTTCCTGTTACCCTGGTGTTGGGCACCTCACTGTGAGTATAAACTGTCCTTACGTCTGGTGGCTCCGATGGTTGCTTGTGCCCAACTCCACTCCTTGGCCAGGGACCCTTAGTCTTCCTCATGGAACTTCCTTGCTTGGGGGCCTTGAGAGTTCTAGTCCAGAGGAGAGCGATTTGTGATTTTTTATACTCAGGCTTCTAATGAATTTTTAAGCTGTGGTCAGTGCCATGCTGCAAAACTGCAGGTTCTCTAAGTGGACTCTGAACACTGTGTGGAGTACTTTGAGTACAGCTGTCTATATTTGGATCAGAATGTGTGGGATAGGGGCCTGCTAAGTAACAGTGGATGAGAAGCATGGGTACTTGGGGCCACATTTTGTATTGTAGAGCTTTTAGTTCTTTCCTAAAGCTTGGGTGTGATGTTCTTTGTACTGGGAAATGTCAGATGGCTAAAAATTCATTCTTTACTGTAACATCCTCTGTCTTTGTATTTTCTGAGGCTGGACATGTTGGCACACACCTGAAATCTCACCCACTTGGGAGGCTGAGGGAGGAGGATCACAAATTTGAGGCTAGCCTGAACAATTTAGTGAGACTCTGTCTCAAAATAACAAAGGGCTGAGGGTGTCGCTCATTGGTATAGCACTTACCTAGCATGTGTGAGGCCCTGGGTTTAGTACCTAGCACCAAAAAATAAAACAGGCTTCTGTGGCAGTCACTGTCCTCAGTGTTTTCCTCCCAGCCTGTTAGTCCTGCTTTGTTCCCATTCAGCCCTCATCTGCAGCAGTGCTGCTCCCCATTTCCTCTCAGCCCTAAGTGAGAAGCAAGCAAACAGAAAAGCACTGTATACTCCACGGGCAGCGGTGACTAACCGGAAATTGCATTCTCCTTTGGCCCCATGTGTTGAAAAGAGCTGTCTTTGCATAATGTTCACTTACTAGGCCTGTTTCCTTTATAAGTCATTCTTGATTTCTTTTCCAGCACTGCCATTTTTGAAAAACACAGTGATTCTTCTCTACCCCTTTGCACCGCTCATTCTGCTGTACGGGCTGTCACTTGCCCTGGGGTGGAACTTTACCCATGCTCTGTGTTCATTCTACAAGTACAGAGTGAAGTGAGTGAAAGCCTGCTGTGATGTTCCATCTAAACTGTGGCAATAGACCCGGAGAAGGAAGTTCCTGTAAAATCTGTAAATAAACTTATCTTTGTAGATATCTTAAAGATGTAAAGTTTACAATCTGAGGAGATATGTTAACACAATTGACAAGTGCATTCCTTAAGACTAATTAATGTACATTTCTATAATAAATATTTTTAAAGCATCCGTATTTGTAATATTTATACTCACAGAGCTATATATAAAATGCTAAGGGCCTGAGGAAACAGAAATGTAAAACTTATTATTTTTAGAGAATGCAGTAATATCACATACCTGTTACTGACAAGGTGCTGAGTCTCCCCATTTCTAAACATGAGGCTAGGGGACCCCATCTCACTTTCATAACCTGTATGGTAACTCACAGGAGCCACTGTACAAGAGGCCCTGACATCATTATCATTTTTTTTAAATGGGGGGAAAGAAACCACAAAGGACAAACCCCCAAAAAACATTAGACCAGAGTGGCCCATGGGAACTATCTTGTGTATGTAATAATGCAAACACCTGCATAAATACCGATAGTCACCATCTTATGTTTTCTTCTAATGACTTCCCAGAACTTGACTAGAACCCAAATAAAGTACTTCTGTTTATAACTGAAAATAAATCAACTATTGTATCAATTCTAAAAAAACCACACATTCAGTTCCATCTATTAGAAGGAATCTTCAACTCAACATGGCTTTTAAAAGTTCTTTATTTCAAATACACATGAACGGCTGTGGCACAGAAACAGGGATGAAAGGCACAGTCAACAGGACCAGTTATTAGGATTTCAATTATAGCAGCAAACTTGAAAATAAATAATCTTCCTGTAAAAATCCAACAGGTACCTAAAGTATTACTAAATATATTAACTGTCCAATCCATGAAGACATTTTAAGAAAAATATGTACAATACATTTGGAAAGAAAAGTCTGGCACAGCCTGGCAGAGACCTTCTGGCAGCTTCGGGGGGTGCTCCAGAGTCTCCTGGATGCAGAGGAGCCTTCCCAGAGGAAGAGTGCGGAACAGCGCAAGCTTTAGTTCTCATTCCACAAATGAAACATAATCGTTAGGCTTAACAGATTCTAAATCTTCCTTTAAAAAACGTACTGTCTCTACTGAAATGAAAGTATCAAATCTGCTGGCAGTGCATCTTACAGTACTGTCGATATCAGCCATTTTTAAGGCTCAGAGAATATGTCTTCAAAGGTATTTTCACCAAATTGGGGCAAACACAGAGCATTTCAGGTAAGTAATGGAATGCTAACCAAGCTGACATACTGAACCTTTGATTCTAGGACAATTTGCTAATGACTAATACAATGAATCTACTAAGAGCACGTAATACAAGATAGCCTCCCTAACGTCCAAAAGTATTAAAAGATTTACCACGAGGAACAATCCTTATTTCAGACCAGTTTTAGCACTGCTGTTCTTTACATTTTACTACAGCATTAACAAGTGGACTCGCTTTGTGCAAGTGCTTCCCCTTCCCCTCAACATTCCCTTTGCTGTCTTAAATAAAGTCAGCTTCCACTCGCCCCATGCACACAACAGTGCCAGCGCCTTTCCTCTTTATTCTTTGACAGAGACCTACTTGTGCCCAAGCTGGAAAAAGGAGTGCTTAAGGTAAGGTAAGAAGAGTTTACACCGAGCTGTGATGATGATGATATAAGTGTGTACCTCCAACAAAATCCTTGGTTTGGTTGCTATTTAAAAAAATAATACTGCTGTCTTTTTAGCATTGTATATTCACATGCATTAAAATAAGCAAACTAGTTATAATATATATTGGTTAAGATTAATTTAAAATTTTACCACTATTAAAATTTACAGACTATAAATATTGGTACATAGCTTGGGAAAGTTTCCTTTTCTATAATGAGATTGGATTGGATATTTATGTTCTCCTATAATGTGAAGATATGATATGACACAAATTTGTGATCTTGTGACAGTCTAACAGCCTCTAATGTTCTTTTCATTTAGCTCTATTGGTCTTACATCAAGGCTATGGCAGTATAAAAATAAGCACAAAAAATTAATGGATAAACCAAAATAAAAACAAACTTCCTTAGTAATTAACAGCTTAAAAGCAGAGGTATTTTGGAAAACATTACCATAAGTATAAAATTTGGTTGGCACAAACAGGGTTTGATCTGTGTTAGATAAATTGATTTTAAAAACAAGTCCCTCATAGTGTCTATCTAAACTACATAAAGGCATGTTTCTTCTCTTAGATATCTGATCTAAAACACCACTGTTCATCATTCTTCTGTACACTTCAGATCAGTCTGTCTAAATCTGTATAAACACCTCATCTAGGAAAAACCATTCCTTACAATCAGTCTCATTCCTGCAGCTCTTTCATAAGATAACTACCAAAATGCTGCAGCTCTTTTACTAAGAACCTACTAACAAAGACTCAGATTTCTGGCAGAGAACATTCTAGCTAAAGCGCAGGAATATGATTTGCTAATGAAGAGTACACGTGTTTATCAAAATAAAAATCCAGCATACAACCAGAAATCAAGGATGAAGACTTCTTTACTGCTTTCAAATACATATTACATTCATTTTCTGCTGCTGCAGAGTAAGTCACAGATCTAACGGCCAGAATACCACCCAGGTATGTCAGGTCTGCAGGTCAAAAGTCCAAGCCGGCCTAACAGCACTGTTGAGGATCCCACAGTGCTGGCCAGGGTGGCTCTGAAGTCAAACCCACTTCTCAGCCTCTGAATGAACATGTGGCTTGCACTTGGTTCCCATGGCTATAGGCCTGCAGGCTCATTTTCCTGCCTGGCAGCCAGAGCCTCTCTCCACATGCCCATTCTGTACCTTCTGCAGCCCCTTCCCCCTTTAAACCAGCAATGGTGTTTTGAGTCGTCCTCTGAGGAGATTGCCTGGAAAGGGCTGACATTGGATTAGTACTAATTGGATAGTTTGCCCTCTGCTGTAGATACCATAGCATAACTATGGATCACACAGTTCCACCCATGTTCAGGGGAGGGGATTATATTATACATGGCCAACGGGTGGGGATCACTCTTCTGATTCTGCCTCAGCACAAATACACACTGCTCTTAACTGGAACAATCTCCAGTGTGCTGTTTCCATATAACCTGACTTTTCTTTCAGAGACAGCATTGTTGGGAGATGATTTTGTTTTTCCTTATTATGAAAGATTTAAAAGAAGCCTTTACAACTTCGCCAATGGCTTTTAAACAATGACACCTTCTAATTCTTTACAGTGAAGCCACTGCTTTGCAAAGCCAGGGTCCCTTTGTTTAAAGACATCTCTAATGGCTGAACATATACCTACATGTCTAGTCCACATGCTATATGTTTGCACTAACTTGTTCTAAAGTTTTCAATCACTTTTTTGACTACATGGTATGATACAGTGCATGCTAAGAACAGTAGTCTAACAGAGAACTAAGACATCTTGGACCTTACCCCCAAATACTCATTTGCATTATAATGTATTCAGGTCTGCTTTTAACCTCGGTAATGAATTCTGGCTTCTAAAGTATCACATCAGCACTCTTGACACAATACCATCCAACAAAACTTCCTGCAATGAAGGAAATGACCTGTATCTCTGGTGTCCAATTTGATGGTCACTGGGTACTTGAGGTACTTGAAATGTAGCTAGTGCAGATGCAAGAATGAATTATTTTTATTTAACTTAAATAGCCATCATGCATCTAGTGGCTATTGTATAGGCCAGCACTGCTCAAGAGTCTGAATAGTTTATTCTGAAATACACACCAGATGTCAAACTATGCCCTTCTATACATATAATTAGTCCACCATGTGACACTTTTCTCATCCACTGCATTGGTAAAAGTGGTTTGGTGTATTTATCTTCTTCCAGTTCCACACACTCTTCACCTCCTCCCACTCTGCCTCAGCACTACCCTGTAGGGCTCCCCCGACAGTTTCTTGCTTGGGGACACCATAGCTGCTGATTGCCTAGTGCTGGATGGGATAAAAATAGGGAGCAGCTAACACAGTCACACAGTGCTTGCCACAGTGGACTGAGCAGCACCAATTACAGGCTGGCCTCAGGAGCTCACAGTTTGTCAGAAACACACACTCCTCCCTCTATTTTCAGAGCATAGTGTGTCTTCCTTAAGTCACAGTTGGCTACTGAGGAACCAAACTCAAGGGGACTCCTAGACCCTTCTTGCACAGACTTTTACCTTCTGCTATTTAGCTGCTTCATCAGTACCCTAGTGTACTAAAAGCTGGGGCCAACATTTTATAACTATATACCTCTTTTTGAAGAAATCTGCTTGTGGGCACTGAGCTAAGGAAATTGGAGAAGAAAATAAAAAGTAAATTAAAGAAAACGAGAAGATCTAAACCCCTAATAAAAAATTCCAACTGGACTTTGCTATAAAAATTATTGATACCATCATGGATTTTCCAATCAAGAAAAATAAAAACTATTACAATAGAGAGTGATGGAAATAACTGTACTATGTCAACGTTTCCTACCTTTTCCCCTTCGTAACAATGCATAGAAAATGATATTCCCTGGTGTTATTTTCTGTGCACACTGGGTCACCGATGAAGTTCTTCCAAGCTGGATGCCACCAGATGGAATCTCCCATAGCCCAGGCCCCTGCCAGGGGCACACAGAGCCCAGGGCATCAGTCTCTGCAGCAGTCCACGGGGCTGTCAGAGCAGACTGGCTGGGAACTGAGCCCTGTTCATACCTTTATTCTGTAAAGACAACTGATTGCTGAGACTGATGAAATTATTTCTTGATAGTAACAATATTTGGAATTGTGTGTATTAAGAGTAATAAATGCTCTTTTTGGACACATGCTTTACCTGTAAGTTCATAATGCAACGCAGTAGAATAAATTATTCTGGAAAAACCTACAACTGCTACAATACCTTTCACCAAAAATCAATATTACAATTTTTTTCTTTAAAATTATACCCGTTATATGACTCATACAAGAACATTACACAGAAGACATTTTGTCAGAACTCAGAAAATGAAAGCAGATATAAAAGGACCAAAGGGACAAAATGCATCTAACTCATGAATTAAAGACAAAGGTTAGAAAAGAAGTGTTTCTCATCTTCAGCTGGAGGAAAGTTAGGCATCAACTCGCTGGTGATTTGGGTTGAATGTATCCCACCTGCACGCTGAAATTCACCACGCTGATCTCTCGTGGCTGTGTACCATACACAGTACAGTAAAAGAACCCCCAAGAAGGACGCTGGTCTTTAAAATCTTGGCTTTAAAGAATGACAAATGCCTTGAAAATATTTTGTTCAGAGTCGCTATGATTAGAAAAGTACTTCGGTTAAGAAATCCATCTATAATCAATCTTAAATGGCAGTGCATTTGAAAAATGGCATTGATTTGTAATGTTTGCATTTCAAAAAAAAATATAGAAAGAACTTAAAAAAGCAAGGTAACTGGTTTTCAAAAAAAGTATCGATTCCAAAATTTACTGCACAAAAATATGTACTTCTTAAGTGTTTCTAATAAATTAACTCCATAACATTTGTATGTAATTTATATTTATATATAATCCCTGATAATCTATAAAAGAGGGTCTATAATAGTAAAATAAATGAACTTCAAAAGTACCCCCTTCATAAAATGTATTTAACATTATTTTTTCTCAAATTTAAGGAATGTAACAATATGTACAACTCTTATGTATTAGTATAATACCAAAATAGTACAAGTCATATCAACAGGCTGTCATAATTGTAAAATGTTTGGGTTAAGTTAAAATTGGAGGACAGTGTAATTTCAAATGAATACAATTATCCATGGGTGATTCACTTTCCAAGTGGAAATGACAATCATCTTCTCTACAGTAGATTTCACAAGAGGTAGTGTTCAAGTTTAAAAAAAAAAATTCATGCTAAATTATCTTAACAGATTCAGAGGGAAAAATGTGTTGATTTCTTAGATGGTCAATTGGTGATTTTTTTAATATGAATCTGAAATGCAAAGAAGTGAAATGTGTAAGACCATTAATTCTCAATTTCAAAAAGTCTTAAATGCAAAATCAAAATGTACAAAAATAAAGTAGTACCTAAGGGACTTCACTGATTTAAGATGTTCTTACCTCATTAAGAATAGCCCAAACAGCAGAATTCTGAATAACTGAAAGGCGAAAGGCTGCAATGGGGTTTAGACTGGGGTCTACCATTCCTTCTGCCACACCGTTCTCAAATTTTCCTTCAAAACAAAAATAGTACTTACTGGACAGTCTGGGATAAATATACTAAGTCATTGATTTATGGCAGGAAAGGAACACACCAAGTATTTCCAGTAGCTATCTAAACAGGAGATAAGTAAGTGACTTTTCCCTTTTCCTACTTTAATTCAATTTCTAAATATTTCTTGAAATAGTGGATACTTAAAAACAATCATTAGAGGCAATCTACTTAGGCAGAGCTAGACCAATATGCTCACTCTAAATTTTAAAAACCAAATAAAAAATGTTTGTTCTTCCATCAACAATGTTTTAACTTACAGGTTTTTAGTAAATTGTGACTTATTCAAACTTTACCAAAATAAAATCTGTACTACTTCTCAGGCTGACTGCTTGGTAGGTTAGGTCAGCAGTCACAGACGTCAGTGATTGAGCCATACACACACATGGTGGTTGGCCTTGCGCTGGGGCTCAGTACACATGTATTCTCCCCACAGGCACATCTGGAAGGGATAAGAACTAATGCCTTCTCTACATAGTTCCCACACAAAACTCCATTAAAAATAATGAGCTTTGGGCCAGGGATTTAGCTCAGTGGTTTCACTGGCTGTTGTGCAAGTGCAAGGACCTGAGTTCAATCCCCAGTACCAAAAAAAAAAGGAGCTTTAAAGAAAAAGCTCTCCTGTAAGAACAAGGACCAAGAACTTCTATAAAAGGTTATGAGATTATGTTTCTTACCAAATTTTTCTTGCTGTAAGGAATACTATACTACTTAAAACAAAGTAATAAAATGCTGTCAGAAAAGTGATAAGAAAATGATTCCTTTTGGACTCAATTTCTCCAAGCCAAGAGTTGGCAAACTTTTCCATAAAGGGCAGTCTTTGTGGACCAAGAGGAAGACTGAGGATACTAGGTAGATGGTTACACATAGGAAGAGAAAACAAATTCCCACAAATGCTTTCTTGATGAAATTCACTATCTAGTAATAATCAAGTACAATTTTTTTGTACTGGAAATGTAATAAAGAGAATATAACTTTTTTTCCTTGGGGCAACTTCATTTAAATGATTTCAAAATTAGTGTTTATCAAAACTCAGTGCACATATTCATTTGTTGATGCTCATCTATAATGATACTTTACATATTTTACCTTTGGAATGTCTTTCCACAAAGCCCAGTTACGACCAAATACTAATGTTAAGTCACAAATAGAGGATTTTTTAATGGCACACATTCATCACTCAAAGTTATTTATGGAATTCTATTAGAGTCTTCTCTTTGATACTTTCTAGTGTACTATGTATCACATTACACTAAAGGTTAGGTGTAAGGCCCCCACAAAGGTACGTTCTGAAATGTGTTAAATTCTTTTTATTTGCATGGAGGTCCAAAATTGCTGGTGGAACTGCAGTTTTGGCTTGGAAAATACAGAGCCTGCCAAAAAAAAGTATTAACACTTCAAAAGACAAAAAACTTGTATAAATATTTTAATACTAACTTTACTGAAACATCATGAAAATCCTAACATGTATGTGAACAAAGCAGTCAATTTACCATGAGTCAATGTCTGGTGTGTATTAAGATATTTATACAAGTTTTTCTTTTCCTGAAGTGTGTATACATTTTTTGGTATATCTACTGGGAATCTATATAGCATGGAGATTTTACCTCCTATTCTAACTTCTGATAGCATAAGAAGTGTATAATGACCACACTATTAATAGCTCTAACAAATTTGCTAACAACAAAATGACTGCAATACAAGTTTTACATACAAGCAATGTTTTATCTTTTAATTTTAGGTTGAATTCATGAAGACACATTACCAAGTCTGTGGCAAAAACCAATTTTCAAAGTGATAATAATGGTTGAGGGCAGTTTTTCTCTTTTGGAAAAACTGCAATCTCGGTCCCAAACTTAAAACAACCATAGTAAAACTTTACCACTGCTAAGCCACTGAACGATTCTATAGTAGGGCAAGTTGAAATATTCAGTTCTTATGTCTGATAAAAATTCTCAGAACTGATAAAAGCAAATACAGTTCACTGTTGACACTGGCTCAATGATATACAACAAATGCAAAGATTTTCTGCAAAGTACCTGGCTGATGAATGATAAATAACCATAAGGCTTAAAGCACCATATATTTTCATAAGCTTTGTAAATCAATGCAACTAAACCACCTTCTCCACATACATTTTCACCATTTCATCGCAACACATCTTAGCAGATTCTGCTTTGGTTTGTAATAAATTTGTGGCGTTTTGTTGCTGTGACAGTGTCTATGTTGCCCAGACTGGGCTCTAACTCATGATCCTCCAGACTCAGCCTCCTGAGTAGCTGGGACTCAGGCGTGTGCCACTGCATCTGGTCTGAATTTGTACTTTCTTAACCTGTGTGAAAATATTCTTGTCTGTAATTACAAATAGACTACTGTAACTTCCAAATAGAGTATGCACGGGGCCAACTATTCAGTCATTTCAACCTTGGCATTGATTCCTAGGAAGAACTGAGCAGTATCAGTAACATCTGTCAACTCAAAAAGGCAAGAAGATGCTTTGCTTCTTGACTCCTGACATTGCTGCCAATGTCCTCAACTCTTCAAGCAGTTGTTGCTGACGGCCTCATCTTAAATGAGCTTATTTTTCTCTGCACCCATGTCTCTGCAATTAAACATGATTCAATTAACCCATGATTGGTGTTTTCTTGCTTGGTTAATAAGCCACTTGGAAATTCACTTTTAATAGCTTTGATTCCGTTTTTTACTTTTGTTTTTTACTTTACTGCTATGATGAGATATTCCATGCTAAATTTTCTAATTTTCCCGAGTGGGGAATTATAGTGTAAGTACTCAGTCTGGAAATGTACACCCATAACAATATAACCGCACAATAACCACAATGATTTGACACCTAATTTTGAAAAACTATCCACATTCCACTGGGTTAAGCATAATATTGAAAGTCTTCTCTTCTTGTCTTGACATGATGAGTAAGCACTGGTAATTTAAAAAGTCACACTACGGTGGCAAGTGTGGCACTTTCAACCTGTCAAGTTATAAATACATTATTGTGACTTGCAGGGTGAAGCCAGGATAGAACAACCCTGAGCCCTACTGCAACCACTAAGGCAGCAGGGCTGTGTCAGAATAAAACTGTGAGGACACCAAAAACTGAAGGTGACATAATCTTACATGTCAAAATGGATTATTTTTCCAACCACTTAGAAATGAAAACAATTCTTTTAAACATTCTTAGCTCACAGATCACTCAAAAGCAGGCAGTGGGTCCTGGGCTATAGTTCATTGATTCTTGTCTGATAAATTATGTCTATTTGTGAGTACCATATTTAACAAGCTAACAGCAAGATAAGGTATATTCAGATTAGAAACCAAAGCAAAGACTTATATTCCTTTATACAGTAAATATTGAATTTGTGAGATTTCTAGATGGTTTTTTTTGCTTCGTTTTTTGGTACTGGGGCTTGAACTCGGGACCTTGTGCTTGTGAAGCAGGTGGCAGAACCACTGAGCTAAATCCCCGGCCTCCTAGATAATCTTTTATTAAAAATTATTAATAAATTTCATGAAAGTCTATCCACACTTGGTGGTGGACTAGGGTAGGGAACGTATGCTACAAAAAAGTATCATTGAATATTAAATTAGGCAGGGGATTCAGGAGAGAAAACTACTATAGAATTTACATTTTAATGCCATCTTACAGTGTCATCTGATTTTCTTTAAAAAAAAATTACCAAATGGTATTACCAGCTTCATAAAAACACTTCCACTCTGCAATTGTATCCTGAGCTATATACTTTCATATGTGCAAAAAGTGTGTTTATGCTGCATCAGAAGATTGCCAACAGGCTAGGCATTCATCACTAGGGGACTGGCTAAAGTTATAAAATGATCAAAAATATGGTGAATATTTAATTTTTTAAAAAAATTTACTTTAAAAAGACACATTGCCATTAATCTCCCTCAAAATACTTTTTCTTTTTTTTTTTTTGGTACCAGGGATCAAACTCAGGACCTTGCATTTGCAAGGCAGGCGGCGGCACCACTGAGCTAAATCCCCAGCCCTTCGCCTCACTTTTAACACACTTATCCCATAGTTTTTGTCACTTTCTGAGGCAGCTCTGGAAGCCCTCTTTCATAAGGGTCCTTAGTCGCACACTTATGGCTTCCTCAATGTCCTGAACTGATTAAAAATATTTACCTTTCAGTCATTTTGCCTTTGGGGAAGACCCAGAAATTACATGGTGCCAGATGACTGAATGTGAATGAAAGCACACTGTAATGTTTTTATAAGGCTGCCTTTCTGCCAGATGGCACTCCGCAGCCACATATACTGTATTTTTTAATCTCACTTATAAATACAAGAAAGAAGAGTCCTAGAACTACTCCAGAATGGCAAGTACACTGGGAAAGCGTGTTCCAACTGAGGGGGAGGATTGAGGGGAATTAATGGTAACATGTCTTTTATTGCAATAACTTTTTTATTTAAACACACATCGAAGCTTTTCATCAGCCCTTGGATGCTAACATTAGGGAATTCTAAATAACTAATGGAAAGTAAATCAAAAAGAAGGAACTAAAGTTGAAGATCATACAGTTGAAGATTCCTAACCCTCACACATGCTAGGCTGGGGATTTAGCTCAGTGGTTCCGGCACCTGCATCGCAAGCGCAAGGTCCCATGTTCGATACCTGGTACCAAAAAAAAAAAAAAAGTTTGCACACATGTGCATAGTGTCTGAAAAGGTGGAAAGGAATGAGCTATACATACACACAGACACATGGATGATTCTCATGGTGAGAGAAAAATGCAAGTTGCAGACTAGAGATCAATATCTGTATCACATTTTCAAACAAGCAAACTATCACTGTGCATCATGGACAGAGATGTGTATGTAGAAAATTCCCGGGCCAAAGGTAAGTACCAAACTCAGGACAGTGGTCGCCTTGCCTCTGAGCAGAAGAGAAGCCATCTGGGAGGACATTGGATGGACAAATCTTAGGCTAGATTTGGACACATGGATATTCTTATTATTTGTATATTGTTGTGCACCAAAATATTTAAAATATTTTTAAATGTCCATGTTCTGTATGTATCTGTGTATTTTGTCCAGTGGAAAAAAAGAGAGGCAGAACAGGGACATAGAACATGTTATCTATCGTTTTTGTGTACTCAAATTATTTTTCACTGGGCATGGACTACTTCTGAAAGGACAGAAAACATTACAGAACCGGCCACTAGGGGGCAGATGGCAGGAAGGCCAGGAGAAGGGAGAGGCCTTGGTCTGTACAGTACTTGGAAACAGGTGCACTTATTCTCTTTGCAAATTACACTTTGTCCTTAACTCCACCTCGATCTGGTAAATAAGTACTAAAAGTAAAGAAGAGCAAACATGGAGGAGGAAATTGCCAAAGAGTGAACAGAATACCAGATTCCCGGATCAGAAGGAACATTAAGGTCCTGTAGTCCTCCTGCCATGCCCTGACCAGGGCACTTTCCCTGTCCACTCTTCTCTGCAGAAGGGTCTTCTGTCATTTCCTAACTTTAACCTGGTGCTTCTTTCATAAGACAGTCACACTCTTCAGAGCTACCCCACCACAACCACTGGGAGTCCACACCCTGCTCAGGAACTATCTATTGTGTTCAACAACACCTTCAGGCAGAAGTAGATGATCTAATTCAATCAGGCTCTGGGGCAGGGCCATTCTTTGTGGCTGTTCCTACCCGAGAGGGATCTCAGGAGCTGTCTCCATGGCTCTCCCTGTCAGGCTTCTGGCTGGGCTCCAGTTTAGCTTGTGTGTAGCTACCACCCAAATCTCCACTGTGCTCCATAGCACCCTTGGAATGGAACTTCTCAAGCTCTGTTTCATGTAAGTCAGGCCCTGAGGAAGAGCCATAGAGCTTCCTGTTTTTCTGGCACGCCCTTCCTCCCCAGCCCAAACAGCACCCCTTCTCCCAGAATGACACCTGCTTAATAAGCAGAGAACTGGCTGTGGTAGCAGCATCTGTATTTTCAGCCTCCCTCTCCCTGTGCACTGGGGCAAGTGAGCTGGGAGACAGTGTTCAGGCCCAGCATCCTTGCCCTGCTGTGCTGGACTTTTGTGTTGTACAAATAAAGGCTGGCGGAGCCTGGAAGCTTAACTATCCAAAGAGCTGGTTGGCCACCTGGAGAGGGCCTGCTTCTTAGCCCTACCAACTCCCATCTCGCCGAATTTGGGTGGCGTGGCCCATGAGGCAGACCATCACCTGGAAAGTGCAGCCTCAGTGTGACTGCTAAGATTCAGCCGCCTGTCTGAATCAATGCATCTTCATTTACTGTATTCCCTTGGGATAATCTTTGGAGCTTTTAAGTGCATAATTTGTGTGGTTAAATAATTTTCACTAATGACAGCTGTTTTGCTAGGGAAGGGTCACTGGAGGTTTTCATACCTTCTTCCATTACAAGGTACTTAAGGGAGTAGAACCTTCATTTCTGATGAGCATGTATGTTAGTTACATGAGGTCCTCAGTGGGACAATCTGAAAGTTCTCCTCTGGTTTTAAGTACAGAGGAGTCGATAGTGCAGGTGGTCATTATCTTCAAGTTACAGCAGAGCTAGTTCATCTAGTTGTCTTGGATTCCCCTATGGTACTTTGACAACCTAGAATATACTCTCCGAACTTATAGAGCTGATATATAATAAGGGTAATATATGTCCTGGGTACTCAGCTAATTTTATGCACATTTCTAGAGATGGGCTGAGAGACAATCCAAACATGAAAACAACTCCACCTATCCACCAAGACTACAGTGAGTCAGCAGGTCGTCGGGCATGCTGGCTGGCCAGCAACAGGCAAATGCCTGACTCCACGTGGAAACTGCTCTGAGCCAGCCAGGACAACACATCTGTCCTGCAGACTTGCAGGTTCACTTACCAATTCTCTTTTGCTTACCACTAAGGAAAGCGTGAATTTGTTTTAATGAAGAGAAAATGTATAAACACTCACTGAATCAGAATCCCAGGGTGAGCACAGAGGCGGAGCTGAGTTGAGTGTGCCCATAATTACCTAGCTCGAAGCATGGGCTGAAGGACACAGGAAGGGCAGCTACATGGGGGGATTGAAGGTGTGGATCCAATTCAGATGTGGAATGACTCCCAAAGGCCCAGAGACTTTCCAAGGCCTCTGGAGGTCTAGTGAGAGGAAGCTGGATCCCATGCCTTGAAGGGCATATTGGGACCTCAGTTCTTTCTTCGCTCTCTTTGCTTCCCAGCCACCAGGGGGGGAGCAGAACCCTATGCCATGTTCCCTCCATGATGTTCTGCTCTGCCATAGGCCCAGAAGCAATGGGCCAACCAATCAAGGACAGAAACCTCTAAAACTGTGACTGTGCCCCAAATCAACTTTCCACTTTTTAAATTGATTTTTCTCAGCTGTTCTGTCACAGTGGCAGAAAGCTAACACAGAGGACATCAGAGCATTGATCAGGAGGAAAAAGCACAGATCAATTCAGCAGAGAAAATGGCTAGAAACATGGCTGCACAAAAGGGTAGGGGCACCAACTAAAGGGAAAGCAGCTCAGGATTAGAGAAATTAAAAGAGGGAGGCTATAAGACATGAAGGTGGGTGGGAGCTAAAGAATTCCATAACAAAGTCACCAGGATGTCTTCCCAGGTCCATGCTGCTATATTTATACTTTATGGTGGCAACTGCAGTGGCCCAGACAACAGTTCCATGCAGTCCCCTCCCTGAAGACAAAGGGAGCATGGCACCCTCACATGGTTACTCAGGACCCTCTCAGGCAGGGATGGGCTGTCCCACGTGACTCCCAGGGTTAGGCTCCAGCAGCTACACGGACAAGGGCAGTGGAAATGGAGGCAGCCAATGAAGACATGCCTGTATTATGGACAGAGAAGGTGACCAAGTGACCACCAGTGTCAGTGGGCATCATGACACGGAAGGGAAGCAGGGACCAAAGTGCAGATTGTGGCATTCAGAATCCACCCAGGGAGAGACAAAGAGCGAGAGGCAGCTGAGGGCCTAGTGATAACAAGGACAGGATGGATGAATAGCTCCTGTGGCCAGGAAGACATGGATAAGCACTGAGTAACACACAGGAACAAGCCATACCAAGAGCACACTGGGGACTGTAACCATCAAGGTGCTTAATATCCAAAAAGCATTTAAAATTACTTTAGGAGTTAAGTCCAGAAAAAGAAAGAATATTTTACTCAAGCAGATATTACCTATCCTGAAATAGCCATCTTCCAATTGTTTGTCTTTGGTTTCTTTGCTTATTTCCAAGCCTTTGCTCTAAAACAAAACAAAAATATTAATTTTACAAATAATTCTATTAAAAAAAATTTGACTTTTTAATACATCTTAATATAAATGATTCAGTGGCATTTGTAGCCCAGCTATCTCTGAAAAGAGATAAAACTGTGCTGCCACTTATCAGTGAGTTTTTTAAATGATCATCTGAATTTGTACATAATGCAATGATGGCTGAAAAATGAGACACTAAGTCCATTTAACAGATATCATTTCCTATTAAAAACATACAGCAAAATAAATACAGAGGTAAGGAACTGTGTCAATGTGAAAGAAACCTAAGCATTCATTGTAGATCAACAAAATTTTGTACATTTATCAACAGGTATTAAGTGCTTACATAGTACTTTTGGACTCAAAATACAATGAGTAAACCCTAAAGTAAAATAATGATTCTTATTTTTTAATAATTATTCATTTTTAGCTCAAACTTTCCATTTGTTTTCCAACAAAAGACAAAATGGTCATTTCTATATATCAGGAAAATGGGTCAATATACCGGGTACACTGTCCCTCAAAAGATTAATATTACCCACGAGTGGAGTCCTACAAATAAGGAGGCTTTTCTTTCATCTTATAAACAGGCTTCAAACCAAGTCCCCTGGGAGTAGCTCTCAGGGGAGGGAAGTGACAGGACAGCCATACCTTTAAAGGCAAAACATCCACAGTGGTGTTCAGCAGGATGTCTCCCGGGTGCTCCCGGTTGCCACTGTGGAACAAGTAACTGAACACAAGGACACAAAATAAAAATATTGTCAGACTAGGTTTCACCAGGATGCAAGAAAATGACCTCAACTCACAGCAGCTCGAATCACTCTGGACTCAAATCACACAGCCAATCGACCCTGCAGCAGCTCAGTGTGGATTCCACACATCGGCAGAGGAAACTGAGGGCACCACCCTGGGTGATGTGTTCATCCTTCTGGTCAGCATCAGCACATCTGTTGCTTAACATAACCCTAGACTTAACAGACTATAGAAAACAACAACAGTTTCATGCCACTGTTTGCAGTGCTTTAGAGACAAACACCACTGGCCAGGAGTAGCCCGCACTGTAGCACCCACTTGTGCTGTGCCCCCGGATGAGAGCAGGTGTTCCCTGGGACATCCATGAATCATTTTAGTAGCAGTAAAATGAAACTAAATTAACTTCTTCCAAATATCTGAATAGTTCTATTAGTCACTATTGGAAACAACTGGAAGGATGACTAATTACATGATACACTGTGATAAATCTAGAAAACTCTCTGGGTATTGAGTAAAAAGCTCTTGCATTTTGATACTTTAAAAACTAGCGATTCAGTGTAGTGTGTGGAAAGAGTGTGAACAAGAGAAGAGAGACACTATATGTGTGAATCTAAAGCTAATTTAAATTTAGTTACATTAACTAGCTAAAGGTTCAGGCTTAGGAGCTAGGAAGACCTGGGTCCATCATTTAAAAGAGCTTTCCCCTCTGGCCAGCGTCATGAGCTTCCCACACCTGAGTCTCCTCTGTCCAATGCCGGTATCTTCACCCACTGCACATGACTGTCGCATGCAATTCCTAAGAACTGGTGAAAAGCACCCTGCATATTTCAAACACTCAGCCAAGTATGTGTGACAGTAAGGTACGTGTGGCAATAATCACACATGATGAGGATGTCAACAGGATGGGGAACCCTAAGAAGAGGTTCTTTCTATCCTACATTGGAAATTACTTCCCACATTTTAGGAAGGTACGCTTGACTTGGAATGCTGGGTCACAGGACAACAGGCCATTCACTGTCTTGGCTAAGTAGGTCAAAGCACAGGGCCAGGGAGGCTACCATGGAGAAAAGAGTGCATGAATATAATCTGGAGTGTGGATGGATTCAGAGATGTCCACCCTGTGATTATTCACAGTGAAAACTTCAACACTACCTAGAAAGTATAGCATTAAGGTAAATGAAGGGATCTACGTGGCCACAAAATGCTCATGATAGAGTACACTGGAAAAATCACATAGGGACTATGATCCAAAGTAGAAAGTGTGCAGAAATACCTAGAAAAAAATGTGCCAACATGGTCAGAATGGTGTCCATGAGGTTGTGATTTTTTTCCTTATTCTTCATACTTTTAATTTGTATCATGAACAATGTCAGAAAATATAACACTTCATATCTGTATTGAGAAATGCAAGTTTGGCTTTTCCCCATTCTGAGCAGATAAATAATTGTGGGAATCAAAAAGTAATTCCCTTTCTTTGTCCTAGGAAGGGTATTTCCATAAACTCTGAGAAAATTCACAGGTATAACTAGAAGAAATGTGTTCTACTAGAAATGTGACCCCAATTTACAGTTGTGCCCTCATATAAATATTATCTTAGAGACATTTACTGTGAAAGTATTTGTAAAAAAAGTGATTCCTGTTATAGAAGTTCTTCAGCAGACTCTTTTTTTTCGGTACCAGGGATCGAACTTGGGACCTTGCTCTTTTGAGGCAGGCAGCAGAACCACTGAGCTAAATCCCTGGCCCCCAGCAGACTCTTTAAGAGTCTGATTGCCTCTCTCCCCCATGTATCTTCTTTTACCAACCACAGAAATAAAACGCTCATTGGAACTTCCACTTCTGGATGGCTGATATAGGAGGATCACAGGTTAGAACCTGAGCAACTTAAACTATCTCAAGAAAAGCCAAACAAAACCAAACAAACAAAACTAAAAAAACTAAAAAGGGCTGAGGATGTAGCTCAATGAGAAGGCCCTCAGTACATTCTCTAGTACTGAAGGGGCAAAAAAGATAGATTATGGAAGGTTGAGAGAAGAAAGACTGGCTAAGGACTTTGGGAATCCAAGGAACAATGTGGTGGTGAATTCTTAAATTTTCTTTCCCCTCATACATTTTAAACATGGAGCTGGAGACATCAGCCTGGAAATGCCCATGGGAACAGACGTCAGAGCCTCATACCAAGACTGTTTGGTGGAGCCCAAGGATCAGAAAAGGAAAAGTTTTAGACAATAGCTGCTCTATGCCAGCCAACATCACAGAAAAACAATGTGGTCCACCCTGACTCACTGAGTGGGGAGCAGACATGGCTACACTCGCTGGGGTGTGACACAGCTCTCCAAACCCCACCTGGGGTTGTGTCACTTCAGGCTGGATGGGGAGTGGAGACCTTCTTTCCTATTGGCCAATGTCACTGGAGAACATATGGCAAGCAGTAAGGGTGGTATCACAGAGGTCTAGTGGGGGCCAGCACCCCCACCCCATCCAACAGAAAGAGAGAGCCTGTGGCCTCTTCCAGTGTCAACAGGAGACAAGCAGAGAAGCACACCTCTCCCCACCTGGAAGCAAAGAGGCAGCAGTACCTCTTCTGTACTAGAGCCACATCAAGGAAGCCAGTGAACACAGAAGGACTAAGGAAGACTCACAGGCTCATGACATCAAATTTACCTACAGAGTTTACCAAATATGTTAAATGATATTACATCTTAAATGTTATTTATAATCCAACATTTGCAACCCATTGTCTCCTCACATCTATTAGGCACACACACAAAAAAACCATTCTAGCACAAATCACATCATGAATAAGAGGTCTAAACTCTAAGACGAAATATATTTCAATAGTCACTAACCTTTCTACATTGACTGGCTTATCAAATTTAAACAAGATGTAGTCTCCAGCATTTGGGGTTATAGCCCAGAAGAAATCTTCCCCCATATAAGTTTTCTCCAGTGTGTGGCCCTGGTAAACCTTCAAAGAAGTTGATACCTCTGCAGGTGGGTTTACATGGATTTTAAGAAGCAATGGTTTCATGTAATCTTTATCCTAGAAAAAAAGATTATGTATGCTGTTAAATAACATATGATTTATATTTAAGAAGAAAAATAACAGTTACACACTAAATAAGAAATTGTACATCCATGAGAAAATAAAATTAAACCACCAACCGTGAGTTTCTGAATTTTTCCAGACAGTGATGAATGGAAACCGACATGCTGGAAAAGGGAAGGTCTGAAGCGAATTCGCAGATTTGCTTTCTGTCTATCACAATGTTTCTAAACAGTTAAAAAAAATCATGTTATTGTTATATAATAAAGTAAAATCTTGTCCTTATCTGGAAAAAAATGAGAAAATACAAATAATAATTCCAAGTCATGAGGCATTAAGAGATTTCCTATCTTCTTGATCAACAGCCATGATCTGGAAATTGATAATTTCTAAGGCATTAAGCCACAGAAGAGGGTAGGATTTAGTTTCAACTATCCTTCAAGATACCTCAATATAGATTAGACGTTTAAGGGCCAGGGATTTAGCTCAGTGGTTTCGCCACCTGCTGCGCAAGTGCAAGGACCTGAGTTCAATCCCCGGTACCAAAAAGAAAAAAAAGATTTGACGTTTAAGATTAACATGCACAGGGGCCAGGGATTTAGCTCAGTGGTTCCGGTGCCTGCCTTGGAAGCACAAGGTCCCGAGTTCGATCCCTGGTCCCCCCCCCCAAAATAAAAGATTAAAATGCACAAACTATAGCAGTTTGGTTCAAATATTCAAATTATCTTAATTGGATAACATAATAAAGAATTTGCAAAATAATAAAAAGCATATTTTAGTGCATGAATGCAATTTGAAAATGTGAGGCAAGAGATGTTAAAAGTTCCATGGACAAATCCACCTCAACATAGTTAGGAGACACCTGTGTTTCCACCCCTAGGGCTTAGCTCAGACATGATGGCCCCTCCTGTGCAGGGGCCTGGTCATGCTTCAGGAGAGGCTAGCTTGACACACTTTTCAAACTCTTCATTTTCAATGGCTTATATGAGTTTGTGGCCAAAAAGTGAAAAAGACATATTTTTAAGCTATTTCCCCTTTGGGAGACCACCTGCCTGTGGGAGCCATGGCCTGAGAGAACTGGACCTCACGTGGCAGAGGTGCCAGTGGTGGAGCGCAGAAAGGCCATTGTTCTGAGCTCGGGAAGGCAGTGGATAGGTGAGCAGCAGAAATAGGGCCTCTCCGAGGTTTGGTGCCGAGAATTTAAGACCACTGGGAGAGCTAAGAGAGAGACACTGGAATAAAGATGCAGCAGACTGCTTCAGTTGGTGAGCTGTTGGGATCAACACTCCTACTGGAGGTTCAGTCTCGCTGTGGGGGTAGGGTGGCTTGAACCTGCAGTCAAACCATGCAGAGTTCAAACCTACAGGAGGTCAGGGTGCACAATTCTGGCCTCGCAGCTAGAAACGAGCCTGAATTTCAATGGACCACAGCTGGCTTGGTGGTATTAACTCAGATCTATACACTGCCCATGTGGTCTACCAGTGACAGCAAAGACATGCCTTGAAGGGGAGGGACTTTCTTTTTCCCCTTCATTGCTCTCCTTCCTTGTTTCTGTTTTTGTCCTTTTTTCCTCGATTGTTCTTACTTTTTCAGGAGCATGAACACAGTTTCTAATTTTCTTATTGCTGTTGTTTTGTTCTGTTCTTGTTTTTATTTCTTCCTTCTCTCTTTCCCTTCTGTCTTCCTCGGTTTCTCGAAGTTTGCATGACCTTCCTTTGTCATGCAAACTTACTTCTAATCTTACTTACTAATTACTTACTTCTAATCTTTTCCTCTCCTTCTATTTCTCTATCACCCCCACAACTCCTCCTAAATTTTCTTCCCAGAGAGTAAACTCACTACATTGAGGGTTTATTTACTATAAACATAATTTTGCTTTGTTTTACATTTTGTTATATAACCACAAATCTAGTTCATACAGTTAAAGGTGGCAAATCAATAGTTACCAGTTTGTCATTTTCTAGGCTGTTTGATGCTATTATTAATGCTGATTGTATTACTTCAACCAAGGTGACATAATTGTTCTAATCAGTTGTTCTTCTTGGTATACCAAGACTGAGATTCCTAAGAATCATAAAAAATACTATAGGCCATTGTCAAAGAACCAGGGGCTAGGCCAAGTAGGCAGCAACCTCTCCTCCAATAAACTGAATAGGTAGGATCTTCCAACAGACTCAAAACCCAAAAGCCCCCTATACCTGGAAGATACCTCTGAAAAATAGTCATCTCCTAAGGGTTCTAAACACTAGCAATGAAGATATTCACCATAAGCAATCTACAAGCATCAGCCCAGGAATTAAATGAAAAACATCAACAACAACAAAAAAAGAGAAATGAGAAGACACCTAAACAAGATATAAACCCAGACTTCCAGCTCACCAAAGGCAAATTCAGGGGGCAACAAGGTAGTACAATCCAAAAGTCAGCAACCTGGACTTCCTGAAGTGGTAACAATGTAAGTCACAAAGCAGATGAAAGAGGTTTGGAAAAAATCAAATCAGCAATAATTTCTCAGATAACTACAGAGATGCTGACTATAATCAAAGACATGACTAGTAACTCTAGAGCAGATACAGATAAAAAAAAAAAAAAGAAGAGATAAAGGAAATGATGGAAACCATGAACACCCAGCATAGGAAAGAAATGGAATCCATGAAACACATCCAAGCAGATATCCAAGAGATTAAAATTTCCATTCAAAGTATCCAAAGCACAAGAAGTGAAGAATTTCTGATATAGAAGATAAAATTGTGATTAGCACATATGAAAAGATTTCTTAAAAATAGCAAGGGACCATGAAAAAATCAATCCAACAGCTGCAAATGATGCAAAAAAGAATAACTTAAGATTGACTGAAGTCAATGAAGGAGATAATACAAAAGGCATAAAAAAAACTCTTTGCAGAAGTAATCGTAAAAAACTTCCCAAACAGGAAAAAAAGAATTTGACAGAACTCTAACTAGCTGTGATAAAAAACAATCTATACCTAGCCATATAATAGTCAAGATTCCAGAAATCCAACACAAGAACAAAATATTAAAAGCAATTAGAGAAAAGAAACAAATCACATACAAAGGAAAGCCCATCAGAATCACAGCAGACTTCTCAACATAAACCATCAAATCAAGTGGAGCCTGGATGAAGTATTTCAAGCCCTTAAAGAAAACAACCTCCAACACAGTGTGATGTACCCTGCAAAACTATCTTTCAAAATGATGGAGAAATAAGATACTTCCATGTCAAAGAAAACCCAAGGAACTTGATGAATGCCAAACCAGCCCTCCAAAATATTTCTGAAGGGTAACCTAGAAAGAGACAATGAGGATTACAACTCCATGAACCCTAATGAAACAAATCCATCAGGCAAGGCAAGAAATTAAAGGGGAGGGAGAGAGAGCCAACAATAGGAAAATATCATGACAAGGATAAGTCAATACATATCAGTTATAACCATCAATGTTAATAGTCTCAATTCACCAATCAAAAGAAACAGAGAGGCAGGATGGATCAAGATGCAAGATCCAACAATATGCTGCATACAAGAAGGACACTTAATTCAAAAAGAAATTCATACATGGAAAGTCAAAGGATAGAAAACAATATTCTATATGACAGGAACCTGGAAAAAAGCAGGGGTAGCTATTCTATTTGTAGACAAAGTGGATTTCAAGCCAAGACTAACTGAGAGAGACAAAGGTCACTACATTCTTATGAAGGGAACAATCCAAGAGGAAGAGATGACAATCATAAATATATGTGCACCAAATACTAGTGCACCCAACTATATAAAACAAATATTAATGGACATGAAAAATCAAAAAAGCACTAATCCAATTGTAGTGGGAGACCTCAATACCCCACTGTCACAAATAGATCAACTAGACAAAAAATATCAACAATGAAATAGAAGAACTGAACCAAACTTTTGAATAAATGGACTTAATGGATGTCTACAGAGTGTTCCACCCCACAACATCAGAATACACATTCTTCTCAGCTGTACAGGAGACAGTCTCCAAAACAGACCACATGCTAGCTCACAGAACATGCTTTAGTAAGTGTAAAGGAACTGAACTTATCCCATGCATATTATCAGACCACAGCACCATGAAATTAGAGATCAATACCAAAACAAATCACAAGAACTTCATAAACAATGGAAATTAAATAACACCCTCCTGAATAACAAATGGGTCACAGATGAAATTAAAGAAGAAATTAGACAGTTTCTACAGCTAAATGATAATGCCAATACAAGATACCAGAATTTATGGGACACAATGAAAGCAGTCCTACAAGAGAAATTCATAGCAGTGAATGCCCATATTAAGAAAACAAAGAGAACTCAAATAAACAACCTAATGTTGACCCTCAAGCTTCTAGAAAAAAAAAGGGCAAGATAAGCCCAAAGCTCACACAAGGGAGGAAATTATAAAGATCAGGGCAGAAATTTATGCAATGGAGACTAAGAAAACATTACAAAAAATAGAAAAATCAAAGAGTTAGTTCTTTGAAAAATAAAATAGACAAACCATTAGCTAACCTTATCAAAAAAAGCATAGAAAAGGCTCAAATCCATGCAATTGGGAATGAAAAGGGTGAAATTACAATAGATTGTGCAGAAATCCAGAGGTCATCAATATATATACTTTGAAAATCTGTATTCTAATAAGATGGAAAACACAAAAGAAATGGGCAGATTCCCAGATACATATGAATTACCAAAGAAGAATCAAGAAGACATAAAAATTCTAAACAACCCATTATCAGTCAATGAAATTGAAACTCTAATTAAACACTTACCAACAAAGAAAAGCCCAGGTCCTGATGGTTTCACTGTTGAATTCTATAAGAAATTTAGAGAAGACCTGATGCTGCTACTTCTCAAACTCTTTAATGAAATTGAGGGGGGAGTAATACTCCCAAATCCATTCTTGGAAGCAAGCATTACCTTGATCCCCAAAGCAGAGAAACATCCCACCAAAAAAGAGAACTACAGGCCAATCTTCCTAATGAACACAGATGCAAAAATCCTCGATAAGATACTGGCAAAAAGAATGCAGAAGATCATCAAGAAGATCATACACCCTGATCAAGTGGGATTCATCCCAGGGATACAGGGGTGGTTTAACATACATAAATCAATAAATGTAATACACTCTATTAACGGAGAGAGTCAAGAACAAAAATGGTATGACGATCTCAATAGATGCAAAAAAAAAGTGTTTCACAAAATCCAACAGCCATTCATGATAAAAAAAAAAACCTTACAGAAAATTGGAATAGATGGTCTTTATCTCAACCTGATAAAAGCCATCTATGAAAATCCAACAGCCAACATCATACTAAAGAGGCAAAAACTGAAATCTTCCATGCTAAAACCAGGAACAAGGATGTCCACTATTACCACTCTTGTTCAATATAGTTCTGGAAACAGCCACAACAATTAGACAAGAGAAAACTGTCATTATCTGTGGATAACATGACACCTCTAAACAGAAGACCCCAAAAACTCCACCGAAAGACTTCTAGACTTAACCAAATTCAGTAGAATAGCTGGATACAAGGTCAACACTCAAAAATCAATAGCCTTCCTGCACACAAATTATCGTTAGACTCACTGAGAGAGGAACTGGGAAAATAAGACCTTTCACAATAGCATCAAAAGAAAATGAAATACCTAGGAATCAATCTAATGAAGGAAGCAAAAGACTTCTACTTTCAAAACTACAGTACACTGAAAAAAGAGATCAAAGAAGATATCAGAAAATGGAAAGACATCCCTTGCTCTTGGGTAGGAAGAACCAATATAGTGAAAATAGCCATACTTCCAAAACTGTTATATAGATTTAATGCAATCCCAATCAAAATTCCAACAGTGTATCTCACAGAAATAGAGAAAACAATCCTAAAATTCATTTGCAACCAGAAGAGACCTAGAATAACAAAGGCAATTCTAGGCAACAAAGGCAAGGCAGGGGGCATCACAATCCCCAACTTGAAACTACTGTGATAAAAACAGCATGGTACTGGAAAAAACAACCCCCAAAAACAAAAAACAAAAACCCAGAACATTACAGAAGATGCAGAAGCTACCCCAGACATAGTTACCCACCTCATCTTTGACAAAGGAGCCAAACATCCTTACAGGAGGAAAGACAGCCTCTTTAATAAATGGTGCTCAAAAAACTGGTTCTCAACTTGCCAAAGATTAAAACTAGACTCATAGCTTTCACTGCACCCTAATCTACAATAAAAATGGATCAAAGATCTAAATATTAAAACAGAAACACTAAACTTGCTGGAAGATAGGTTAGGCAGAACTCTCGAAGACACTGGAGTAGGAAAAGACTTTACAAACAAAAGCTCAGTTGCGCAGGAACTATTACAAAGAATCAACAACTGGGACCTCATCTTATTAAAATGCTTTTGAACAGCAAGAGAAACCACCAATAGAGTGAAGAGACAACCCACAATGTGGGAAAAAATTTTTACAAGCTGTTCCTCTTGCAAGGATTACTATCTAGAATATATAAATTACTCAAAAAAAAAAAAACCAGATCCCCAAAATTTAAAGACCCAAAGCAAAAATTGGCATCAGAAGTTAATAGACATTCTCAGATGAAGAAGTAGAAACAGCAAATAAACATGAAAAAATGTTCAACATCACTGGTCATTCATGAGATGCAAATGAAAACAACGCTAAGATTCCATCTCACTCCAGAAAGAATGGCTGCTATCAAGAAATCAACCAATAACAAATGCTGGTGGGGGTGTGGGGAGAAAAGAACCCTTCTCCATTGCTGGTGGGAGTAGAGACTATTGCAACTACTATGGAAATCAGTGTGCAGATTCCTAAAAAAACTAGAACTAGAAGTCCCATTTGACCCAGCTATTTCCCTGTTATCTTCCCAAAAGAATTAAAATCATCATATTATAGAAATATATGCATACTCATGTTTATAACAGCATAGTTTATAATAGCTAAACCTTGGAAATAGCCCAAATGCCCATCAACTGGAGACTGGATAAAGAAAATGTGGTTTTTTTATAAAATACTCAGCCATAAAGAAAGATAAACAACAGTCATTTATAGCTAAATGGATGCACATTGATGCTATACTCTTAAGTGAAATAAATAGGACACACACATGTAAATATAGAATTGTTTCATTGTGAGAAATTGAAGTGTAAATGAGGACCAAATGTATAATAGATATTGCAAAATAGGAAGAAAATGTTCAAAGGGGAACGAGAACTGGGGGTGGGAGGAGAAGAGAAAGAAAAAATTAAGAAGGAAAAAATGGAAACAAAGCTTTTGTAAGTGGGAGAGGTTGAAGGGAGAGAAGGGGATTGGGAAAAAATAAGAACCAGGATATTAGCATGTACAGGTACAAATTCTCTATGATGAATGTGATCATAATGTATACCTAAAATGTACCAATAAAGTTAATGAATTTTTAAAAAAGTCATTACAGGCAGAAGTAGACTTTCACATTCAATGATTACTTAGGACTGTCCTAGAATAAAGCAATTAGCATAAAAACAAAAAGATATTTCCCCTTTGGAAGACTTACAATCACTGGGTGCTAAAATGCCCAATTCTTTTTTTTTTTTTGGTACTTGGGATTGAACTTGGGACCTTGGGCTTTCGAGGCAGGAGGCGGAACCACTGAGCTAAATCCCCAGCCCTAAAATGCCCAATTCTTAAAGGATTTTACATTATCTGCATTTAATAATGCTAACAATAGCACAGACGTGAAACAATGCATTTTACTTACACAAATAGGAGGAGGTAAGAGAGGGAGGAAAGGAAAAGGAGGGAAAGTGAAGAAGAAGATTAATCTGAGGGGGAGAGGAAAACCAGAAATGGAGAGAGGAGACAGAAGTGACATCAGCATCTGGAACCTATCCTATCACTACAAAGGCAATGTGGCCTTCAGGCCTGAGGGGCCCCAGCAGGACGATGCAGCTTTGGGAGAAATGTGGATGACCTGAAGTGTTTTCCACACCACTGTCTAAGAGAGACTGTTCAGTGGCTGGCAAGGGTTGGTGGCCACCTCCTTAAACAGCTTAGAGGAAGCAACTGAAGAACTGAGGGCCACAAAGAAACACAGACTGAGGAAAAGTGAAGGAACACTGGAACTGTCCAAAGGCTTGTGCACTCAGGTCTATGGATGATTTTAAAAGGTTTTTGCTGTTTTAATTTTCACCATCAGAGTTTTGTACCACACAGGCTCATTTTACAGTCTTACCACGTAATAGAGAGAACTACACAGGATAAATTACAGGCAAGTGTAGGCAGCAGGAGAGTAAAGATGACAGCAACTTTTTTGTGTCCTACAATAAAAATTCTTGTAAGCCTACAAGAAAATACATGTAAGCGTTTAGATATTAAAATTACTTGTTCAAATCAATTTATATGGTCAAGTATTATTGGAAAGTATGCGCATATATTCTATTTTGTTGTAATCCCTGATTAGCTTTAAGGATGTGTTGTCTGGGGTTTTTGACTGTTGTTTTTAAACAGAGAATGCAGTGATAGCTCACACACAAGGGAGAATCTGAAATCTCACTCACTGGCAGGTAGGACAATCATATCATTCTAGGAAATATAATTAAGTCATGAAGTCAAATTACATAAATGGTTATTATTACAATGAAAATGATAATTTAACCCTATAAACATATGCTTAAATGTTTATTACTATGTGTCAAAACTGACAATCATTAAGAATTCGTATTTATATTTTATGTTCACATCAAATAAATAAAAAGTTGTATGTTCCCCCTAGAAATACAATTCAAATTGAACAAGAAAATATATCTAATTTCTTTACACTATAATTTCCTTGGAAATTGCTGTCTGAGTGATCAAGGCAAAAATTATTCTCTTATTTACCTGCCAACTCCGCCTAAAGGTAAGCAAATAGCTGTGTTTCTTGAAAATAATATACAAGATAGACTTTGACTTGTTGTTTGGGTGTACAATGGTACTTCTATCTTATTCCCTATTTCTAGATGGGTTAGAGCCTAATATTTTTCGCAAATATTTGCAAAAAACTGAAACCCCCCACAGGACAGGGCTGACATTTTCTACAGCCGAGAGCAGCAGATCCTGAAGCCACAGAGGCTGGTGACACAGAGCAGCCACACGGAGACAGACAGGGCACAGGCCTGCAGCAGGCTGCCTGGCTCACAGGGACCTTCCTGGGCTGATGACACCTCTTGACCCGGGCATCTGTGCAGTGTGGGACAATGATGAGCACTTGGAGCAGCAAATGGAAAGCCATTTTCTCTCTTCTACCTTGAAGAAGTGTTTTGGGCAAAAGGTGGCTCCCAAAAAGCCACTTTCGTAAGTGAAACAGAAGAGATGCTCCACGTACCCCAGGAGGAATGGACTTACTGCGTCTTTCTCGGGGTTGCAGACTTTCACCCAGAGGATGTGGTCCAGGAGCCAGTCGATGGGTTTCTCCCTATAGAACATAAATATGAACTCCACGATCAGAGTGAGGTCTGGCGCCTGGAACATTTTACCTGGAAAGATAATCGCAGTCAAGAGCTGTAATAATGAAGAAACCAGTCATCAAAATGGCTTCCACAAGGGAAGTCAGTGCCCTAATGCTCCAAAGGTTGTGCTTTCAGTCCTAAATCATCATGAGTAACATCCGCACTTGTACTATCTGCACAGACAGACCTGCTTAGCCACACATTCACTCACTGGAGGGTGAAGCACGAGTGGCGAAGGCTGCACACTGACATGAAGGAGTCTACCATGCAGCTGCTGGCTCACAAGACTCACAGGCTAGGTCAGACTTTTCTTGCATGTCTTATTAAGATCCTTCCCATTAAAAAAAAAGAACATGAGAAGAATATATATAGATCCTCTCAATAAATGCAGATGTTATGTGTGTACGTGTATATATATGTACGTGTATGTATATATATATATATATATATATATCTCAATAAATTTGCTTTTTTTCCTAAATTTTCTTTCATCGAAACTTCACAGGTAAAAATGTTTTTTAAAATGTTTTGTTCATTTTTTTTGTAGTACTGGGGATTGAACCTAGGGCTTTCACACTGACCTACATCCCCAGACCTTTTTTTTATTTAGAGGGAAAGTCTCAATAAATTGCCCACACAGAGCTTGAACTTGGGATCCTCCTGCCTCAGCTTTCCAGAGTTCTGGGATTACAGGTGTGTACTACACATCTGGCTTAAAATAAGTTTTGAGTTCAACACGGTCAGTGGTTCAGCCTCTAATGTTTCATTTTGTTGTTGTTTGTTTTTTGAGACAGGGCTTAACTATATAGTGCAAGATGGCCTTGAACTCATGGTGATCCTGCCTCACTCAGCCTCCTGAATGCTGAGATTACAGTTGTGTGCCAACACACCCAGCAACATTTTAAAAAGTAACATACTGAAATGTCATCCTCTGAGTGTTTTTTTAACTTATAAATCTGCCAATTCTTTTCCATTGGCTAATTTAGGAACATCAGCCCAAAAAGAGATTTTAAAAGAAGCACCCCAAATACTAGTTAATAAAAGAAGTGAATAAAAAATAATCATAGAGGGCTGGGGACTTAGCTCAGTGGTTCCACGGCCTGCCTCACAAGCGCAAAGACCCAAGTTCGATCCCTGGTAGCCCCCCTCAAAAAAAATTAATCATAGAATGTGAGGTTCAGGCCTTGCCTGAGAATCTGTGGTATTTTTCCTAAAAGAATCCCCCCCACCCCACCCCCTGGGTAATGCAGGACCTGCAGCAGTCAGAAGAAGAAACTAGGCCTTTCCCCCTGGCCAGGCAGGCCTTGGGCATCTCCAGAGTAAACAGCTCACCTCAGCTAAGTGCAATTTTCTCAAGAACAATCCACTTCCACAGGAAAAATACCACTTTGTGACCAAAAGGGCAAATGGTTTAAGATTCGGCAAGTCAGTTATTTTTGAAAAGTGGATGGATCTGAAGCTTTTCTTACCAATGAAGCCCAGCTGGGAAAACTCCAGAATCATCCATTCCTCAGAAGAAAGTTGAAGTGCAAAATTTTTGATAGTATTAAAATAATTCTGTTTGACAATGATATCATCTTCAAGCTAGAGAAAATTGAACAATCATATTAATCAAAAACAGGAGGAAAGATAGAAAGTACCTTTAAAGAGAAGCTCAAGCACACTTTCATGAGGAAAATCAAGAAAACAATGAAAATATAAAAACAAATGTTATCAAAAGGAAACAGGGAAAATAAAATGAAAGCTGTGCTGCAGGACAACTGAACCCTTCCCTTACTGTGGGAAATGGCAAGAAAATTCCATGAATTATTACTGCTTTTTGGTCCTTTTATAGTGTTTAAGAAGATTTCACACTTTTTTCCTTTCAAATGGAAAGAATTTTTGTGGATTTTAAAAAATGTGTTGCTTCTTTTTTTACACACTATAACACATAGCTAGTCACAGAGACCCAAAGCACAGCAGGCTCCTCCTCCATCCCCAGCAGGACGAGGTGAGCACTGGGAAAGTCAGGTGTGGCCTGTTCGAAGTTTTCCACGTCCTCCACACAGTGCATGGGGCCACACAGGATATGAGGTGCCCATTGGGTGCTCCAGCTTGGAGAGGGTTGTTTTGTCCCCTACAGTGCTGGCCACTGACGTCAGGGCCTTGCACATGCCGGACAAATGCTCCTGCACCACCCCTCACATTTTTAGAAAAAGGGTTCACACTATGAAACACAGTTTCCTCTTAATATAGCAGGTTAAAAATCCATCCTAGGCATGTCCAGCCTGTGCTGTGGCCCACCACTTTGCAGGAGGTGGTCTTCATTTTTTTGAGTGAAAAGGAATTGTCTTGGGCCACATATACAATATGCAATATAGTTAATATATATGAGTGACAAAACTTCCCTTTAAAATATTATTATAACGTTTTAAAAATGAGGGCAGCCCAGCCTGTTGGCACATGTCCATAATCCAGCACTCTGGGAGGCTGAGGCAGGAGGATTGGAAGTTCAATCCCAACCTGGGCAACTCTGTGATGCTGCTCATTGCACAGGCTCTGGGTTCAGTCCCTAGTAGTGAAAAACAAAACAAAACAACAATAACAAAAACAAAATGTGCACCCATGTTCATAGCAGCACAGTTTGTAATAGCTAAAACTTGGAAACAGCCCAAATGCCCATCAACTGGAGACTGGATAAAGAAAATGTAGCTTTTTTATAAAATGGAGTACTACTCAGCCATAAAAAACGAGAAATTAGAGACATTTATAGCTAAATGGATGCACATTGAGGCCATACTCTTAAGAGAAATAAATAGGACACACATGTGTAAATACCGAATAGTTTCTCTAGTGTGAGAAACTGAAAGTGTAAATAAGGACTAAAAGGTATAACAGATAATGTGAAATAGGAAGAAAAGGGTCAAAGGGGAAGGGGTAGGGGAAAGGAAAGAAGGGAATGGAATATGAGAAAATGGAAAAATGGAAACAAAGTCTTTGTAAATAGGGAGGGATGGAGGAGTTGAAGGGAGGGCAGGGGAAGGGGGAAAAATAAGAACCAAGATATATTACTCAAAGGTGCAAATTTCCAGTGATGAATGTCATTACACTGTATACCTAAAATGTACCAATAAAATAAAAAAAAAAGAAAAAACAAAACTGTGGCTGCTGGCTGGACATGCCAATATGACAATAGACACACAATGCCAGGGTACAAATGTCCTAAGGTACCCTCAGATCTGCTCACGGCAGATGGTCAGGTACATGTTGGTTCCTATACTGGCATGTGACAGTCTCAAGAGTTCCCTCTGCCCATTTTAACAGATACCTACAAAATATTAGGGAAGCCTGGCAATTCACCCAATGCCATCTAATCCCGCACTATGCCAGTGCCCTGTGCCATCTGTGCTTGGCTTTTCTTTCAGGCCACCAGGCAGGGGACAAGTCAGGGTCCTGAGCAAGCAGAAGCTCCTCCCCAGAGGCTCCTCTGTTTTCATTTTAAAGCTACAAGAGGATTTTAATGTTTTAAGAAAGCTTCTCTTGTCTTAATTTTACTCTGTCACTCATTACCTAGGTAATTTTTATTTTTACATTTGATTATTCACCCATTGAACTCCCAGAAGCTTTCCTCCTCCTGCCTGGGAAGCAACAGCAGCAGCAGCCTTTGGAAGGACACATTGATAGGCTTGCCTACTGTTCACTTAGTCAGGACATCCCAGACTCAGGCTACACCCGGGGCCATCATCAACAGGAAAAGACTGACTGTAGGCCCAGACCTTGGAGGAGGTGGGGAACAGGGGACAGGGGACGAGGCGCAGGGCCACAAAGCAGTTACCTGGCTTTCTGAAGAAGCTGCCCCCATGCACACTGGCTGACCAAGCCGGAAGGGAAGATGACCCATCCCCACACCAGGCAAGATTAAAGTCCACTCAGAATGTGGTGCGCGCATTTACCACACACATGTAAAGTCACATGTGGTGTATTAAATTAGAAAAACTACTTTGTTCCGCTCTCCCGTCTCATCAATGTCACTTTGTCTTTACTCGTGGAACACTCTCCAGCGTAACTAACTTCAGGACGGTGTCCCTGCTGGGAAACTGGCTGGGGTACAGTTCACTGCAGTTGTCCAAAAGCCACCAGGTAGAGCTCTATGGAACCACTTGGACCTTCTGCACTACAGCCAGCCACTTACTTACTTCCCCAGCTTCCTGACCTCTGGCGACAGGAGGCTGTGGTCCATCTGCACAATTCTGTCTTTTTAAGAATGCTATAGAAGAATCCTGCAGCACATAGGCCTCTGAGTTTGGCTTCTAAACTGAGAATACTCCCCTTGAGATTGAGGTGTTGTACATCAAGTTTCTTTCCTCTAGTTGTTCAGTGCTCCATGGTGTAGATGGGCCACCGTGTAACGAGTCCTCTCTGAGGCACATCTGGGAGGCTCGTAGTACAGGCTGTGGACACCCACGTGCAGGTGCTTAGCGAATCTAATCCTTCTCTGACAGCATTTGGTCATGGCAGGGGCAACACTGCAGAATCTGACACAGCCCCTGCTATCGACTGCTCATTTGCAGAGGGAAGCTAAAAAGCAAGATGCAGATACTGTGTCTGAAGTATGCAAATGCCCCATATGTGTATTTGCTTAAGTTTTTTAAAAGTGGAAGGAGACACTAAAAGTTAACAGCAGTTATGCACGGGGGAGGGAGGAAACAGGGTGAGTGGACGAGGGATAAAAGTGAGATTTCTGTAAAGGCATATTCTTTTATATAAGTTTCAATTTTGGAATATTTTATGTAACTGAAAAGGAAAGAAAATAAGACCTAAAAATGGTATGCTTAATGGAAACAAATGCACGCAGTTTGGTACAGGGCTGGTGGCATGGTCACAAAGGAGAGAGCGCTGCTCAGCAGCTTTCACAAACGGCACTCTGATTATATGAGTAAATCCACATCGGGATCCACTTGACAGGGAAGAAGCACAGAGTGTTTAGCCTGCTTGTAGCAGCTGTCTTGTCAGTGGGATTGCTACTGACACTCAATCCAGCTCGAGGTACACTATAGGATAAAAGAAGTGTGTTATCAGGGTCATGTTATTAAAAATCAAGATTTTCAGTTTAAGAGAGAAAGCCATGCAAGTATAAATTTCAAAAAAGTTAAGTAAAACCCCTATAATCTTATATCTGAATTAGAAATACCAAGAGAAATTTGTGGAGCTTTTTTCTCTAAAAAACAAAATACTCCTTTTCTTGCCGAAAGTCCTGGAAGCAAAGACAATATGACAAAAATGAGCACCTCAGGTGCCCACCGATGTCCCTAACACCACCCAGCTCTGAGAGGGGCAGGATCCTGAGATAGGTGACAGGTTCCAGATCTGGGACAGGACAGGTGCATGACACACACACCAGTCAGCAAAGAAGTGATTGACGAGTAGGATTTAACACAGAAAGAATGCAAGAGTCAATGTGAAGAGGTAACACTGGCTCATAATGTACCAGTGTGGGCCTCGGTGAGAATAACAATGGAATGGACTGACACAAATCAAATATACTTTTGAAGTTCATCGAGGAGTGGTGGTGCACACCTATAATCCCAGCACACCAAAAGCTAAAGCAGGAGGATCACCATGAGTTTGAGACCAGCCTGGGCTACACAGTGAGTTCAAGGATAGCCTGAACTATACAGTGAGACCCCATCTTAAAAAACAAACAAACCCCCATGAGTTTATAATGATACCTTTAAAATGGCTACCACTGAAGAATGCCAGGGTACCAGTTTTAAAAACTGATAAAGAAAAGCAAGCATTTATTCTGCCTTTTCCTTATGAATTGTTTTTCAAGGTAAGCAAGTAATTTAGGTGGGGAAATTCTTTACAGAAGAACTCAGTTTCAAAGAGCATTAAAGGGGGCCAGGGATTTAGCTCAGCAGCACAGTGCCTACCTCACAAGTGCAAGGTCCTGAGTTCAATCCCCAGTACCAAAAAAAAAAAAAAAGGAACATTAAAGGTTAGGGAATTCGAAAATTAACACTTGGAAATCTCTAACAAAATAAATGATCCAGGGAAAAATCATCCATGGGTGCTGAAACCCTAAGATGGCTCCCTGGGAGCATAGGAGGGAGAGGTGGGCTGGCCTAGCAAGCCACTGTTCATCTGGAGCCGCCTAACAAATGTGCCTTACCCACAGCAACCCCCAACCCCAGCAGTTCCTGGATTGTCTAACAGTTGCCAGAAGACACTGTCTTCACTCCAAGTGGTTGGCAATAGGCCCCTTTATAAATCTGCCTGACTTCGTCAGTGGAAACTTTACTCCAAGGCACAGCATGACACTAGGAGAGAAGGCACTTTGCTCCTTCTTTTAGGTATGTGTCCTGGTTGCCCTGAATTAACCCTGGACTCTGCCTTTTTTCCTTTTTGGTACTGGGGATCAAACTCAGGTCCTTGAGCTTACAGGGCAGGCAGCAGAACCACTGTGCTAAATCCCCAGCCCTCCACTGCCTTTTCTAAAGCACCCTTTCAAAGTCCTGGGTATGATCCATTTCCCACAATTCAATAGTGAGGCCACATCCCTGGGGACAGCAATGAAGTCTGATACATTCCTATGTTTCCTCACT